TTTTTACTACTAACACTACTACAGTCACTACAGCTAATGCTTATGAGACACACCAATACACACCACGTTATAAATCTTTTTTTTTTCTTCCAAAAATTATTCAAAGGTGCACCATGTATATATGTGTATATCTGCCAAGAATGTTCCACAGTATGACATTAAACAGCTCTACCTTACATTTATTCAACCACTGCAGGTGGGTTTTATAGCTCAAAAACACCTAGAAAAACAGGCATTCTGACTGTGAGTGGGGTAACCTCAACACAGATCTGACCTGTAACTTGGTTTGGTCTCCATGAAGATAGAAAGGTTTAATGCCATACTGTGAAACATTCCAGACAAAGCTATAACATCTCTACACAGAAAAGCATTTGATGGACTCTCAACCACATTGCATAATTATTTACATTATATTTAAATAATAAATGTTATATATTTTCTTGCACATTTACTGTGAGAGAGTGGACACTGTTTTGATAATTTGATTGTATATTAATATGTCTCTGGTAAAATACCCTTGCACATCTGTATTTGCTCAAACCAAATGACTTCACTGAACTCTTCTTTTTATATTCCTGTTTCAAAATTTATTTCCAAAGCATACATATCTGTCTTGTCTTGTCAAACAAGATTATATAATCAGACTATTTCAGTGAGCTCAATGATAGTCTATTATTTACAGATAATAACATGTCTCTCAGCTAAGATTAAATGATGTATTTCAGTCCCCTCTGATAGTTTTGACCTCATAAGCAGCCATATATATACTGGTATGGACAGACCGTGCATGTCCCTGAAAAGTGTTTGCAAAGCTGCATAGTAACCACAAGATGAAGTCATGCCAGGAGAAAAGGGGTTAGGGTCCCAGAATAAGCTCTAATCACACTTACTGGAAGACGTTTGAAAACTGCAGATGATGATTCAGCAACGGTGCCAAAACTTTCCATGGAGCATGTGACTCTAATCACTTCGATGTTTTACAGGGTGCTGGTTGGAACTATTGATCTACCAAACATAATGGAATGCTACCTTAAAAAAAAAATAGACATATTATAATAGACAAATGAATAGGCAATTCATAAAAGGAAAAAAGAAAGTATACAGTGCCATCTAGATGAAGAAAACCGGGCCATTTTCCTAGGTTTTCCTGGATTTTGTCAGAGTTACTATCAGCAACAGAGCCCAAAAGAAGTTATCATCTGCATGTTTCCAAATGTCTGTAGGTTTTGTGATGTAAGCATGAAAAGAGCCTCTTCCTATTCATTTTTACTAGAGGGGAGGCTTCTTTAGTCAGGCTGGTGCCACCTAGTGTCTCCACTCAATTTAATTTCTCTTCAGCAACTAGGGTCAGGAATCGGAATACACTAAACCAGGGGTGTCCAAACGTTTTCATCAAGGGCCACATATGTAAACACAGATGAAGCAGAGGGCTGATCGAGGGCCATAGACTGGTGCTCAGTACAGTGAATAATTGAAATATGTGCATGTTTAACACGTTAGAATGAGGCATCAGTCTTTATTCATGCTAAAATCCTTAAAACCACACACTAAATATTAAATATTAGCTTTAATAAGGTAGATTTTCAAACTTGCAGTAAAAAGTAAACTTTTTATTGCTGCAAAGCAATTTGGGCCAATTCACCTGGAAACCTGTGGGCCAAGAAAAATTTGTCTGAGGGCGCATTTTGCCTATGGGCCATATTGGGCATGCCTGCACTAGACGCAACATGTTTACAAGAACCCCGGAAGTTGTAGACCGCATACCGGCCAATCAGCGAAGCGCTTTGACGCCATGACATCAAACTCAAGCATCTGTCTGGGTCCCTTTTGTGGTACAACACAACAGTAAACAAAACGGTCTAGATGTTTGTAGATGAAGACATACATTCTGTGTTGGCAATGATTCCCGAGATCAAGGGTTTAAAGCAGGAACAAAGAGAATGTTTGGTGAATTTTATCAAGGGGAAAGACGTTATTGTCCTTCTTCCTATGGGATCTGGGAAATGCTGAATATACCAGTTAGCCCCGTTAGCAGTGCATTACATACAGTAAGTCACGACCAAATAGCAGCGATTGGTTAAATTAAAGAAAGCATCTGCCTACCTAATGCTGCGAGGTCAGACAGTTTCCACGAGGTGAAACCGGCTCTAATGCTTGGCATTAGAAAAGAAATATGAAAACTTAATGAAAAGCAAAAGGGCTGATAAGACTTGGCAGCGATAGCTAAAGGATGCAGTCATACATGGCACGGTGAATCATCTACTGTTTACTCCCTTAAAGGTCAACTATTTCTTTTGAATTTCATTTATGCAATTTGTGGTGTTGCAACAGGATTTAATAATAAGTGACATTTAAATGCATCAGAATAATTTATTTTATGAAACGCCTGAAGGATTCACATAGGAATCATGTTTCAGAACATGTTTGTTCAGGATGTGACATTTTCATCATAGAATAAGACACACAATTATAATTGTTGTTTATTTAACAGGTGCCAATTCCAGTATTGTGAAAGTTTTTATTACTGTTTAACTGACTAGTTTTGAAACAGGTAATAGTAGGAAGATACTTAGATTGGGCCTAAAAATACAAATACATAGCATTTTTTAAAGATTTTTTTTTTTTAAGTTTAAAATCTTGAAAATGTTCTACCTTTAAAATGAACTTTGACAACATCCACTCACAGGGAGAATAAAATGAAATGACTTGTGTATGTTTTTCAGCTTTTAGAAAAGTTTTCCGAGACAGTGAGTGACCTGCAGGTGTTGGAGAGGGGGCTGGAGGAGGCACAAAACCAAACCTCTTTAAGCTGTCAGCCTCTGTTAAACACCATCAAGCTCCACGTGAGGAATAACATGGCCATACTGCAACGTCAGATACAGGTGAGGCACTGATATCGATATCAACTGATACCAATATAAGGAAAGAAAGTGACATTTATTTCCTTAAAACATGTGAATAAAAGTTCAAACATTATGAGACGTCTAAGGCCAAATTCAGCCTATAAATTGTCTTATTTCATCCAATTAAAGGTCCAACCAGGATAACGTCAGAACCACTATCATGAAACTGATACTTGATACAGCACATTTTTCAGTATCAATATAGTATTGATATTTGAGATCAATATGGGTATTGGTGTATCCTATTCATAATGATGTCATAACATTACATATAGAGTATGGCTGGGTATCATTAAGAAGTTGCTGATACAATACATACTTCAATACATATTCCACAATACAATACATATCTCGATACAGTGAGCTTTTGATTCGATACAATATATATTTCAAAATCGATTCGATATGATCCAGTAAAAATAATGGTTAAATCATGGCTGTGATACTAAAAGTCTTTGCTACACCGCTTTTTATGCAAAGTTCATATAAAATACGCCCATTTTAATCATCAAAACTGCAAAAATGTCAAATGTGTTGCATAAATGAGCTTCCTTCCTCTAAACAAGCAACAAAATTGTAGTGCTGCGACAAAATAATTTTGTAAAATATATCGCCAAGAGTTAAATATTTTTGCACAACACTAATATAGAATATTAGAGTATTGAAATATTTAATTTGAAAGAGAGTGCATGATTCTTTTTGTGATTCTCGCATTTTAACTTAATTTGTTTGGATAATAACTATTGTAAATATAACTTATAGTTTTACACCAATCTAGAAGAAATTTGCAAAGAGAAGTTGAAAAATATGTTGAATATTACAAGAAGTAGAGAGTTCAAACATACTGATGGCATCACACTAGGGAGAATTGTCCTCAAAAAGAAAACTGGAGTTGTGTTTTATTTTATTCACACATGTTTGAGTAACTGCTTATATTAGTTTGTCTACATATCCAAAGCTCAAAATGCTCCGTTACACCTTGTGATGTCATGTCGTTCAGAAGAGATGGACAGTTAGGCCAGGAGCCAGGTCCACTCCTCAGGTCATCTTGGGCTTAAACTGAAGATTATAAACTTGGGGAGTTTTTTTATGTACATTTGAGGCAGTGATATCAGGGTATCCCCAGGTTTGACTACACCAAATTTATGACTTTTTTAAGACCTTTTTAAGACCTCTTAAATGGAAATTAAGACCAACATCGCACCCAATATGTGGGCGAAAAACCCCAGATCCAATTCTAATAATAACCAATTACTCACTGCTTTAAATGACAAAAAATACTTTTATTATAAAATCTCATTCAGAATTGATTTATATTAGGATGCATTGCTTATAAATTAGCCAAAAATATTTATAACTTTCTAACAAGACAAACTAAATATTGTATGCACTCCAAATTAGACGTTCATTCACATTACATGAGTTCACTGTTTTTTTTTCCCCTCCATTTGATATTGTACTGCTGCCTTTATGAAAAAAAAAGACTTGAACAACATAATTTAAAGACTTTTTAAATCCTTTATTTAGGAACATGGAATTTAAGACCTTTTTAAGACTTTTAAGACCCCGCGGCTACCCTGGATATATGTAATAAAATGCTTGAAAATGATTACTTTTGATGACAATTTGTTCAGTGGACAGGCATTTTTTTGTCTTTTGGGGTATGTTGAGGCTGATATTTGACAGTAGAAAGGCAGCAAGCCCCAGATATTTTTTTCTGCTAGTTTCCCCCGTGTGTCAGGATACACCATGCAAAATTTTAGGGTTATTTGACCATTTATGCAGTTTCAGTACCTTAATATTTACAGTTACATAATTTTGCTGTGATTTTTGGGCCTTGAGACCAAAGGGGGCCAAGTTGGAGTTGGTCCCTATCAACTTGTGATGATCCAACATATAAGATAAAAGGAAATAATAGTGAAAAAAGGTAGCAAAAAACATCCTGAGCAGTTTACCTGGCTCCCGGCCTAAATTCCAAGGCTGAAATAACAAGGTGGAACAGTGTTCTACTCTAGGTGTGTCTGATGTTTTCATGCAGAAACAACATTATATCATAAATCAGAAAATGATGTAACATGTGTGTTTTGGTTTACTCACAGAACGCCACATTGAAAGCCTCATCTTCTCTGCAGACGTGCTCAGGTCTCTCGGAAGTCCTCAAGCGCTACCTCAAACTTCTACAGGGAAAACTGGAGCTGTTTGTGAAATCTTACGCGGACATCGTCTGCAGAAACAACACAACAGATCTAATCGGCATTGGATAATGTTATACCTATGGATAAGCATCAACAATATGCCTGGCCTATTCCCTTTCTTTCTATTCATCAGCCTTCATTCTAGTTTTGAAGTGAGTGACAGGTGGATTCAACCAATCACAGAGAAGGAATGAACTCTTAGGAGGTGTGGTCATCTATAAAAGTTGCAGCTACACGAACTGGGCAAAAAGGTAAACCGCGATCTATTGCTATCACCCGCCCATGCTGGAAGCTGGTTTACCATCTTGAAACTGCACCAGGATCAATGCAATGATAAGAAACCGCTTCGCCACAGTGGGAATTTTGAAATGACGCACCAGCTGTAAGCAAATCAACCTGCTGGAATGGATTTTGTTTGAGCGATTTTCAAATACACATCCCCATCACATCACCACATGGATATAAACAGTGTATTTACTTTGAAAACTCATAACGCTGTGATACCGGGAAACAGTTATGTGTATTTGTGAGTGAAGGACTGTCATAGAAACAGCTGGACACAGGCGCAGTACTTTAGAGGAGTTAAGCCAATACGACCTTTTCAATTGAGAATAAGATACTGATTCACAGGTATGAAGGTCCTTATAGAGGGCAGATATTGATAAGACGAAAAAGCAAAGTCTGTATAAAAAAGTAGAATAAAGGAGTGTGACGTCACCCATAGCGCTCGGCTCCAGTCAAATGAAGCTCACAGGGACTAGGCACGTAAAGGGCCGAAAAAATTGAAATTTATTTACGGAAAAAATAGCAAAATATAAACATAAACAGGATCGCGTACAGTGGATTATTAAAATCCGTGTATCATTCATTCATTTGTTTTTCAAAATAAAACTAAAAATAAGAAAACGGAAAAACAACTATTTTCTTCATTATTTGTCAGACTGGGACTGAGACCAGGACTGAGACCAGGACTGAGACCAGGACTGAGACCAGTTTAGTCCTGGTTTAATCCTGGTTTAGACCTGGTTTAGACCTGGTTTAGATCTGGTTTAGATCTGGTTTAGTCCTGGTTCAGTTCTGATTTAGACTCAATTTAGTTCTGGTTTAGTCCTGGTTCAGGTCTGGTTCAGGTCTGTTTTAGAACTGTATAGATGTGGTATAGCCCTGGTTTATTTCTGGTTTAGCCCTGGTTCAATTCTGGTTTTGACCTGGTTTCGACCTGGTTTTGACCTGGTTTAGTCCTGGTTCAGTTCTGGTTTAGACCTGGTGTAGTCCTGTTTTAGTTCTCTTTTAGTCCTGGTTCAGTCTTGGTTCAGTCAGACAGTTTAAGTCATGGAAACAGGAAACTGCCATTATCCGTTTTTTTCCCCATTATTATTTAAACACAAAAGAGAAAACTGAAAAAACGAATCATTAGCCGTTTTTTCATTTTGGTTTTGGAGACAAATTATGAAGAAAATAGTTGATTTTTCATTTTCTTACTTTTGTTTTTATTTTGAAAAATTAATAAACGAATTATACATGAATTTAAAAGGAACATAACAATACGAACAAAAGTTGGAGTTGGAAGAGCCTGTTTGGAACGTGATGGCTAGAGGGTTAGCTACGTTCATTTATATAGAGTCTGTGGTTCCAAGACAAACACGTTTCAACTCACCTCTGGCTTTTTTGTCTAGACCTTTTCATTTATTTTATTTTGAAACTTTTCCGCCAATATATTGGGCTGATATATCGGAATTTTTTGCGTATCAGCTGTTGGCCTTTAAAGGTGTAACTTTTCATGTAGAAGGTCCATCATCAGCTTCTCTCCACTGAGATGTTAACTGGAATGTTCCAGTACGGCATTACACTTCTCGTGACATCTCTACAGAGTAAATAAAAATTAATGTTATTCAGTAAATGCAGGATGGATACATTTAACTCCATAGCAGGACATTCCTAGGCAGGCTGGTGCCACCTAGTGCCTCCGCTCAGTTTCATTTCTCTCCAGTGAATAGGTCAGGAATCAGAATACACTAAACGGTTCGCAAAAACCCCAGAAGTGTGAGTTCGGGCACCAGCCGATCAGCGAATAGCCACACATTTTGTGTTGGCAACGATTCCTGACATTGAGGATTTAAAGCCAGAACAAAGAGAATGTTTGGTGAATTTTATCAAGGGGAAAGACGTTATTGTCCTTCTTCCTACAGGATTTGGGAAAAGCTTAATATACCAGTTAGTCCCGTTAGCAGTGCATTACATACGTCACGACCAAACAGCAGCGACTGGTTAAAGGAAAATCCTTTTATCCTTTTAATCCTAATGCTGCGAGGTCAGACGGTTTGTACAAAGTGAAACCGGCTGATGAATCAGGTTGATGAATCAGGTTGATGAATCAGACAAAGCAACAACATTTCCATGGCGACAAGCAAATGGTGGACCCTCCACCAGAAAAGTTCCACAATGCACCTTTAATCTCTATCATAGGCTGATACTGTGTGTGGCCCAACCAGCACTTTGCACACCTTAGTCTGAAGAATGGAACTACACTGCTCTAACCAGTAGCCAGTTTGTAGTAAAACAACAGATTATACAATTTCCAAAATCTGCTCTATATATAACTGGCCACAAAATATCACCTCTTATCTGTATTCTAAATTATTGGTATTGGCAAACCCTGTATCGATCAATTTCTAGTTTTAACTCTACGAAATGAGGTAAGATTTGAGTGTTTACGCCAATGATTGATAAGCTCTGAAATACTAAGACCATCCTTTTTGTATCTAATATGTCAATTGAAACCTGGCACTTTATATTATATTTATATGTACCAATATGATGGAAAAATGTTGAAATACATTTCCTCACATTTCACAAATTGAGTGTAGTTCAGCATGTTCAAAGCTGTTCAGATATCATCACTTGTGTTTGATCAGAGGCGATTCTGGGACAGGAAGTGTGGGCTCCTTTCAGGGTAAATCAAACACAAAGAATCAGTGTTGAGCAATGGGCTGCTGGCACATACAAGTGCAAACAGAAGTTCACTGCCAAACTCCTATCTCTTTTTCTCATCTCAGTAACACAGAATAAATTTACCATGAAGGGAGTGGCATCAGACAGTGACATGAGTGAGAAAGTCAAACAGTGGCTAATATTTGTTCCAACAGCGCCCTCTGTCTGAAATGAATCGTCCTTAAAAAGGGAATGTTTCTGAACTATAGCTGCTACAGCATTCTTTGATGCACATTATAAGCTTTTTTGTGAATAGGTCTAAGTATGTATTAAAGGTCCTATATTGCGCAAAATTAACTTTTGTGAGTTTTAAGTCATATTATAATATTGTTGCCTCATCAGAAACATACCTGGATTTGTGTTTTGTTTCATTCACATGTTTGGGTAACCTTTTATTATTAATATCCCTACATCCCCAAAGCTCAAAATGCTCTGTTCCACCTTGTGATGTCATGGTTTAGACCTGGTTCAGTCCTGGTTCACTTCTAGTTTAGACCTGGTTTAGACCTGACTTAGACCTGGTTCAGTTCTGGTGTAGACCTGGTGTAGTCCTGTTTTAGTTCTATTTTAGTCCTGTTTCAGTCCTGGTTTAGACATGGTTTAGCCCTGGTTCATTTCTGGTTTAGACCTGGTTCAGTTCTGGTTTAGACCTGGTGTAGACCTGGTGTAGACCTGGTGTAGACCTGGTGTAGTCCTGTTTTAGTTCTGGTTTAGTCCTGGTTCAGTCCGTATGCGGTGCAAAACTCACAGTTTAAGTCACGGACACGAGAAACACCATTATCATTTTTTTTCATTATTATTTAAACACAAAATTGAAAACTGAAAAGAACAAAATTAGTTTATTTGTTAGTTTTACCACATGACATCATCAGGTGGAACAAAGTGTTTTCTCAACCTAAATACGCAGGGTTTGTGTGTTCAACATGTGCAAATGAAACAAAACACAACTCCGGGTCTGTTTGTGACAACGAAACAACATTTTAGCATAGATCAAATAGTATAATATAGGCCCTTTAAGTCATTTTATTTATGAAGCACCTTTTGCAGAAATCAGCTCCAAAAGTGCTTCAAAAAGGTCAAAAATAATACATGAACTGTGATCATAGAACAATATAATAGAATAATATGTAATGTAATATAATATAATAAACATAATGTAATATAATATAATGTGTAATTGTAATGTAATGTACAGTGTAATCACAGATTGTTGATGTTTTATTCATTTGTGTGGACATTTGGAAACTGCAATTTGTTTTGAATTATTATCATGTGATTTACATGAAAAAACTGCTGCTGATGATAAACTAATATCACTCGTGTTTACAGCATATTACCGTTTACTGCTTTGTTTGGTAATGAACTCAAGTTGTGGTATTCTAGGCTGGCAGGATGATACTTAAGGAGGAAGTGAAATCAGTAGTGCGGAGAGACAAAAAAAAAAAAAAAAAAAGCAGAAACCAAGTATGAGTGATTATTTAAGCAGAACATCACAGCTCTAGACACTAGGACAGCGGATGAGTCATAATCAAAACTGAAATTTGACCAAATCGCTTACAATTCTTGACCTACCATAAAAAAAGTATCTCGTCTGCATAAAAACTACTCACTCTGTACTTCAGATTCGTCCTAACGTCGCTCTGAAATGTGATCTTTGTCGGCTCACATTTCAGTCTGTCGATTCTTTGTTGCTGCAGGTTATACAGCCTTTTATAGCACTTTTTATCACTTTGTTGTTTACTATCTGTCGAGGATCAGATGACATGCCTTAAACAGAGTATGCAAATACATTTACAAACTGAATGAATGACATAAAAGACGTCAAAAGATGTCAGCTTGTTTTTGAAAGGAGAACTAGAACTGAAGAGCTTTTTTTTTTCAGATACTCTATTCAAATGAAGTTGTTTTGAATTATTTCATGGTCGACTGGTCGCTTTTACTTTCATTAGAAATATCAAATACACAAATCTGGTCAAGATCTGTATTGCCTGACGTATTATTCAACACCATCACAAGAACCCATGAAACAGCAGTGATTTTGGCCAGCCATGCCTTTGTCCAACCTCAATCTACCTCTCATATCATCTTCTACAGATATGTTATCAGGAGGAGGAAATACTCTCAAGTTTAAAGGTCCTATACCACACAAAATTGACTCCTGTGAGCTTTAACTCTTTTCCACATGAAGACTACATTTGACGACCCTCCCTTGTTTCCTTAATGACGTCTTTTGACACCTCCGCTGTATCACTAAAGACGTGATTTGATGACCATTACAAATGGCTCGGTTTTTCACATGTAATCAGAGATAAAATTCCAATGAATTCGATACGGTTCAATAAAAAATAAAGGCTAAATCTTGGCTGTGATACTAAAAGTCTTTGTTAAACCACTTCAACACCTGTATTACGCTACCACATAAAATAGCAAAGTGTTTCTGTTAGAAAGACGAACTCAGCCTAAATATGCAGGATTTGTGTGTTAAACATGTGTGAATGAAACAAAACAAGGGTGACTAGATGTCCCTAGTTACCCGGGACAGTCCCAGTTTTGAGCTCTGTGTCCCCTGTCCCAGCAGATGTATACAAAACCAGTGATTTGTCCCAGTTTTCAAACAAGAAATGTCTCAGGTGTCCCTATTTTTGACCAATCTGATGCCTGTAAACAGTAAAGAGAGGCATTACTTGTCATTTGTTGAGGTAAAATACAGAAAAGCTGCTTAAAAATGACCAAAAAATGTGTCTATACTCACTCACATGTTAGTCCTGAATAAGTCATGAATGGGCCAAGTGTATAAAAATTTTCCTTAAGTACGCACTTGTTAAAGGTGACCAGATTTTCAAAATTCAAAACTGAGACATATCCAAGTTGTGATGTCTGGTATAAATAAACTGTGAAAAGAGCACGTATCATTGTCCATTCTCGACTCACTTGGGGTTTGTTGGTAAATTTTTTGTTTTATTGTAAGTTTCAATCACAGTTTTCTGTATTTTAGCTAAACAAATGACAATATATCCTCCTCTTTACTGTTGGTGGGGATTGCTCAAAAACTGGTCAAAAATAGGTACACGTGGGACGTGTCTTATATAACACTGGGACAAATCAATGGTTTTGAATAAATCTGGTGGAACGTGGGACACAGGACTCAAAACTGGGACTATTCTGGGTAAATAGGAACATTTAGTCACTCTGCACTTGTTTCACAATTGTATTACTACCAACCACCCTAAACCACGGGTGTCCCAGTTTTTGATTTTGAAAATGTGATCACCATAAACAAAACACAACTCCAGGTATGTTTTTGATGAGGAAACAACATTAGAACATAGCCTAAAATAGTCTAATATAGGCCCTTTGAGAAGTTTTTTTGAATAGGGTGACTAGATTTTGTTTGTGGTGGTTGGTAATAATACAAATCTGAATAAATAAATGTGCATAAAGCGAATTGTTTTCTGTGTTTTGTTCATTTTTAAGCAGCTTTTCTGTATTTTACCTCAACAAATAACAATGCCTCTTTATTACTTTATTACTCTTTATTATGCCTCTTTTTACTGTTGGCAGGTAGCAAATTGGTCAAAAATTGTGTCACCTGGGACATTTCTTGTACAAATCACTGGTTTGGCATAAACCTGCTGGGACATGGGACACAGGACTCAAAACAGGGACTGTCTCGGGTAAAGAGGGACACCTGGTCACTCTGCACTTGTTTCACAATTTTAATATTACCAACCACCCCTAAACGAAAACTCCAGGTATGTTTTTCATGAGGAAACAACATTAGAACATAGTCTAAAATAGTCTAATATAGGTCTTTTAAGGAGTTTTTTGCTAAATACTCTTCATTAATTTGAATAGAATGAACAGATTTTGTTTGTGGTGGTTGGTAATAATAAAAATGTGAATAAATAAATGTGCACAAAGAGAACTGTTGCACTCGGCCCATTCATGACTAACATGTGGGTCAGTATAGTCACATTTTCTTTGTCTTTTGGTCATTTTTAAGCCGCTTTTCAGTATTTTACCTCAACAAATGACAATTAATGCCTCTCTTTACTGTTGGCAGGTGTCAAATTGGTCAAAAATTGGGACACCTGGGACATTTCTTGTATATATGTTAGTGTCATATGAACCATCTCGCACTCTGAGGACCTCAGGGACCGGCCTCCTGCTGGTGCCCAGAGTCACGACTAAACAAGGGGAGTCAGAGTTTCAGGTTCATGCAGCTAAAACCTGGAACAGTCTTCCTGAACATGTGAGACAGACTCTTCTGTGACGCTGTTTAAATCCAGACTCAAAACATTTCTGTTTAACTGTGCATAAAACTGAAAGGTTTTCATTCCGCACTCTTCTCTCCAATTTATGTCTCTCTTTTTTAATTTTAATCTTCATGATTATTTATGTTTTGATTTGTTTTTATTATGATTTTAATGTATTTCTTATTCTGTAAAGCACTTTGAATTACTTTGTGTACGAATTGTGCTGTACAAATAAACTTGCCTTGCCTTGCCTATTTCTAAATGAAACACAACTCAAGGTATGTTTTTGATGAGAAAACAACATTAGAACTAGTGCTGTCATGCGATTAAAAAAATTGAGAGATTAATTAATTATGATCTGTAATTAATTAATCTAATTAATCTCATTTTAATCTCACCTAAAAATTGCTGAGAAAAGCCTTCAATTTGAGGTATTTTCATTTAAATTCATTATTACATTATTGTGGCAGATCAAAAGACTGATATAGATTTAAAAAAGTGACTTTATAAAGTCATTTATTGTTTAACAAATCTCTTCAATTTGGCTGTTGAGCCCAAGTCTCCATGAATAAGAAACTGTTTGCTGTAAAGTAGCAAAGACGAGGAAATCTGAACATAATAACTTTTGTCTACTTAAAGACAATAAAAAGTCCAGTCTTTCCTTAACCATATTAAAAATATTATTGATAGAGAAATGCTTTATATATGAGATCACTGGTTTTAGTCCTGGTTTAGACCTGGTTTAGACCTGCTTTAGTCCTACTTTAGTCCTAGTTTAGTCCTGGAATGGGTTAATCCTGGTTTTAGTCCTGGTGTTAGTTCTGGTTTAGTCCTGTCCTGGTTTAGTCCTGGTTTAGACCTGGTTTTAGTCCTGGTTTAGACCTGGTTTAGACCTGGTTTAGTCCTGGACTGGATTAGTCCTGGTTTTAGTCTTGGTGTTAGTTCTGGTTTAGAGGCGCACAGGAGGAAGCGCGGTTTACGCAGCGTAGCGAGAAAACACGATCCACACGCGGCTCACGGGAGCACGTCGGTGTCCACGCAGTGTCTACGGAAGGAAACGTGGTCCGCGCGTTCTCAGGTTGATGACGATGATGAAGGTGTGTGTTTGTGTGTGTTTGTGTGTTTGTTTGTGTTTGTGTCGTGTCCCCTCATGTGGCAGGTCACTATAGGACAGTAGTGCAGACATCATGAGTCTATGCAGGTTGTTTTCACCAGTGACATTTAAGTTGTAGGCGATTTTATATTTGTTATTTTCTTTTATATTTCACGTCGGGAGAATAATTTCCAAGACACGAATGTGTTTTTACCTGTGCACTGCTGCCTCTGTTCTACTGGCTCTTCGACCTCGTCCATTGTGCGACTGACGCCGCCAACGTGACGTTTACATCGCTCTTACTGCGCGCGTTTTGTGTGGGTTTCCGACAATGAGTGGAATTACCGAAATAAAAAAATGTATAAATGTGTTTTGTGTGTGTGTGTGTGTGTGTGTGTGTGCTGTTGTCCCAACAACACATAAAAACTGGTTTAATAATAAAGCAACTCGCATACAGAAACAGTAAAGTTAGAGATTAAAAATTAGATTAACGCGATTAAAAAACATAACGCGCTAAATATGACTGTAATTAATTAATCGCAATTAACGCGATAATTTGACACCCCTAATTAGAACATAGCCTAAAATAGTCTAATATAGGCCCTTTGAGAAGTTTTTTTAATAGGGGGACCAGATTTTATTTGTCGTGGTTGGTAATAAAAACCTCAACAAATTACAAGTAAAGCCTCTATTTACTGTTGGCAGGGATCAGATTGGTCAAACTAGGGACACCTGGGACATTTCTTGTACAAAACTGGGATAAATCACTGGTTTTGGATAAATCTGCTGGGACAGGGGACACAAGGCTCAAAACTGGAACTGTCCTGAGTAAATGAACGTCTATAAAACCTATAAAACTTACCCATAGTTTACTTCCTGCAGCTTTTCCTTGTTCATCCATGCTCATGTTTTCATTTTACAGGAAAAAAAAACTTGCTCTGATTGGTTGAGCGTTTTAGATCACGTGACCGAGAGCAACAGGCTGAAAAGTCTCTAGAAACACGTGGTCAAGCTAAATAAACACAAAACCGGAAATGGACTGGCGCTAAAATCACAATCATCACATCTATTGCGTTCCGTTTTGACGACAGGGATTTTATTTTGAAAGGTGTCACCGGAACACAATCTGGTTGTTTCACTCTTGATGGGGATGTCACATGATAATCAATGAGGGTATACAAACGAGCCCTCTCCTAAGTGGTCCACAAGCCGAGGCGATACCCATCTGGACAAAATGTAAGGACTTTAGATGATGAATTTACCTCGAGAAATCCTCAATATCCCCCGTGTTTTTACGCAGCGTGTGGTTTTAGTTTAGCTGCACGTTTTCAGTACAGCGCTGCAACGGGGCTAACTTGCGCCGAGTCCGAGTGTCTAAGGGAAGTTTTGCAGCTTGTACTTCTTTAGGTTGCAAGATGACAGAGCGGACCCCTCTCCTCCACTACCGCCTGTCCGCCAGCGTCAATGAGTCCGAGAACCAGGCGCGCCAGGCCGGTCATGCCGTGGAGGAGCGCCACAAGAGTCCCAGGCACCGGTCCAATCAGCCGGGCCAACCCAAGAAGCTGTCCACCTTCTTCGGCGTTGTCATCCCCACCCTGCTGTCTATGTTCAGCGTGGTAGTCTTCCTCCGGATAGGTGAGTGTGTGTTTTAGGTTGAAGGGCTCATATTCATCACGCTATTTTCTTATCCATGTGATATTATAATCAAAAACATACCTGGAGTTGTGTTTTGTTTCATTCACACGTGTTTAAGGTGACCAGATGTCCCTGTTTACCTGGGACGGTCCCAGTTTTGAGCCCTGTGTCCCCTGTCTCAGCAGATTTATCCAAAACCATTCATTTCTCCCAGTTTTATACAAGAAATGTCTCAGATGTCCCTTTTTTTAAAATTTATTTATTTATTTTTGTCCACATTAGGAATAGGAATTTATTATTATTATTATTATTTTTTTTTTTCGATTTTATTTATAAATTTCAATAGCACATTACAAAGTATGTATGTAAGTATGTATACCAAACATCATATTTATGCAATTTTTTTCCAAAAATAACCCCAAGAAAAAACAAAACAAAACAAAGAACAAAAAAAAATAATAATAATGAAAATAAAATAAATTAATAATAACAATAGTAATAATAATATAATAAAGCTAAAAAAAAAATATATAATATATATATATATATATATATATATATATATATATATATATATATATATATATATATATATATACAAATGAAAAAACGGCAGATAATACAAAGACAGATAAATACACAGTGACAGATTAAGAAAAAGACATACACAACCACGCTAAAGTATGGTGCTCATTTTATATGTGTCCATGCATTTCAAAAATGGCTGCCATGTTTTTCCAAATTTTGTGGTCGAACCTGCAAGGGTAACTCTCATCTTCTCAATGTGTAAAAAACTCATAAGATCATTTATCCATTGGTCATGTGTGGGAGGGATCGCTTCCTTCCTCCTCAAGTGAATAATTTATGCTCCTCTTTACTTTTGGCGAGGATCTGATTAGTCAAAAACCAGGAGTAAACAAAGACTAAACCAGGATTACAGGAGCAGGAGGGAATTTTAGTTTTATTTGAGGTGTCCCTATTTTTGACCAATTTGACCCAAACCAGGAGTAAACAAAGACTAAACCAGGACTACATTAGGTCTAAAACAGGACAATCATAATTTTTGACTTATCAGATCCTCGCCAACAGTAAAGAGGAGCATAAATTATCATTTGTTTAGCCAAAATACAGTCATCCCCACCCTGCTGTCGATGTTCAGCGTGGGTAGTCTTCCTCCGGATAGGTGAATTTGTGTTTTAGTTTGAAGGTTCCATATTCATTGCGCTATTTTCTGATTTATGTTATATTATGATCAAAAACATACCTGGTGTTGTGTTTTGTTTCATTCACATGTGTTTAGGGTGACCAGATGTCCCTGTTTACCTGGGACAGTCCCAATTTTGAGTCCTTTGTCTCTGCAAATTTATCCAAAACCAGTGATTTCTCCCAGGTTTATACAAGAAATGTCTCAGGTGTCCCTATTTTTTGTCCAGGACTACATTAGGTCTAAAACAGGACAATTATAGTTTTTGACTAATTAGATCCCTGCCAACAGTAAAGAGGAGCATAAGTTATCATTTGTTTAGCCAAAATACAGAAAACCGTGTTTGCAAATGACAACAAAGCAAAAAAAAAAAAAAAAAATCTAGCAACAAGTCCCTCAGATTATGACTAACACGAGAATGCACAATGTTACACGCTTTTTTCACAGTTTTAGTTGTGTCCCATGTTTAACACACATATTCTGCATATCCACGCTGTGTTTTTCTCTCAAACAGAAAAAAAAACTTGTCATGTGGTCATCCAGGAAGAGCTCCACTGTGTTCTTAAACTCAATACACCTTCACTAGAATCATTTGGATAATTTCACCCCAGGAATTTTTCATCTCTAGTAGCTGTTAACTTGAAAACTACAGCTTCATGACATCACAAGGAGGAACAGAGCATTTTGAGGTTTGGAGCTGTAGACAGACTAATAATGAAGGGTTACTTAAACACGTGTGACGAGATAACAATATTCTAACATGGCTTAGAGCTCATAAGAGTAAAATTTGCGTAATATGGGCTCTTTAATCAAATAAAAAGCTTCAAATGATTAGTGCGGTCACATTTTTGAATCCACAAACTTCTATCGACTCTTTTCTTTGCAATGAATTCTATGTGGCTAATATCACCACTTTTTTAGCACCATTAAGCTTGTGGTTTAGTAGTCAAGTTATTATAGAGGTGCTGACCATAACACTACTACAAACAATTTGATTAAAGATGAAACTATGATTTAGGCTATCAATTTAAGTTCTCTATAGGCTTATTTAAGTCTGCCTCTACTTCTATTTCAGTTTCACCGCTCGTTCAACTTCACCACTGTTTATTAAAAGCTATGGGCTACTCACTAAAACGCTGAAACATTTGCATTGAGGCTGATTGGACGACTGGCCTACGCATTTGCTTGGTTTGATCACAGAGATGGCACTTTTATTTCACCAGCATGAGATGATATGAGATTCTATTTTGCGTTTTGTAATGAAAAAGACTCGAAATTAGAATTGGAAGCCTAAATTTTACAAACCAGTACTTAAAAAACAAAACAAAAACTATCCAAGACACATTTAGAATAAAAGTTTGGCTAGTCAATAAATAAATAAATAAGTAAAGAAAAAAGTAAAAATCTCTGACTAGTGCAAAACGGAAATCATGCTGACCCGTCATAATCTATCAATAAGTCATAAATTGGTATTAAAATATAAAAAAGTACAAGTAATTTAATTTAATCTTTATTATTGAGTTTTGAGTAATAGAGGCAATAAGGCACATAATTACTCCAAAATTTATATCGTTATTTAGACTTGGACTTTGAGCCAAAACGGAAATTATTTGGACACAGTAGCTCACACATGACTTTATATTATAATAACAAAGCACAACCATGTAAATGCTAATAATACTTAATAATACATTAAAAAGTATTTATATTTTTTTCAAATAAGGATTCCCTGGGCCATGTCAGTCTTGTCAAAACCTGGCAGAAACACAGTAAAGTCATTAACACTATCATAATCTATTATCAAGGTGTTGCCATTGTAAATTTAAATCAATATTCAGACATGTATTATCGCATGGGATGGCATTAACTGTTCAGTACTGTAACTTTGAAATGCTTCTTTGGGTTGATCCCGTCATCAGTGCTTTTTTCAGGTGTTGGTGTTGTTTGCCTAACTCACTGGGGCCCATTCTTCGCATAGTCACCTGTTAAACGAATGTGTTCTTCCAGAGCTGTTATCTCGAGTATTCAGAAACTAGGCTACACTCTTTTACTTCCTTATTGTTTTCAGGGCTGCACATGTGTCAGGAATTAAACTGCTGAAATCAGTCATTTTACTACTTGTCTGGAATGCGTTGTGAAATTTTCTTACAGTAAAAATGCTCACTTCCAGCTAATTTTTTTTTACATTTTCGTTTTTGTTATTTGTTCCTGAAAAATGAAATTGCGCAATGAATAGAAACACATAATGCAATTGTACACAACAGAAGGCTTTTCCACGATTACAAAGAAGCAGACATGAAACGTGAAAGAGAAAATCTTATCTTATCTTAAAATACCATGTAGGTGTAAACAATACTTTGACTGGGAAGTTGTGCAATAAATACGGGAGCACGAGGATATATTTCTTGCGTATTACAACTTTTCACTTTTGTTTTCATAATCCCCCTGGTAATTTAGTTTGGGAGCTGGCCCCTCCCCTGCCACCCCAGTCTCGTGAGATGTCAGCTGCTGCACGGTGGACACGCTTAGGGTATACTCACATGAACACACATAGTAGCGGTTGTGTGTGTGTGTGGACTAAAATACTAGTATGTTAGTTCATGGAGACCTGCCCTATATTACTCAAAATAGATTCTTGTGATTTTTAAGGCTTCTTATTATGTTTTCTTGTTAAAAACATACCAAGATTTGTGTTTTGTTTCATTCACACATGTTTGAGCAACCCTTTATTATTAGTCTGTCTACATCTCCAAAGCTCAAAATGCTTAGTTCCACCTTGTGATGTCATGTAGTGGTAGTTTTTAGGTTTTTTGTTAAGTAGAAATGAGCAATTCCAGGCTTGAAATCATCCAAATGATTCTAGTGAAGGTGTATGGAGTTTAAAAACACAGTGGAGCACTTCTTGTATTACCACAAGGGCTGGGTATCATTCAGAAGTTGCCGATACAATACATACCTCAATATATAGGCCACGATACGATACATATCTTGTTATAGTGAGCATATGATTCAGTACGTTATATTTCAAATCGATTCGATATGGTTCCATAAAAAATAAAGGCGAAATCATGACTGTGATACTAAAAGTCTTTGTTCAACCACTTCTTGTGCAAAGTTAATATGAAACACAAACATTTTAATCATCAAAACTGTGAAAATGTCAAATGTGTCACATAAATTAGTTTCCTATCTAAAACTGTAGCACTTTAACAAAATAATTTCAGAAAATATACCAAAAAAATCTTCTTGGCGATTTATCGACACAGCAGCTCGCGACTCCATCGATACTGTGCCATCACATTAAACAATATGATATATCGATATTTGTATATTTTTGCACACCCCTAATGACATCACAAGGTGGAATGGTGTGTTTTGAGAGAAGAACTCAGCCTAAATATGCAGGGTTTTTGTGTTAAACATGAGTGAATAAAGTAAAAAAAAACACAACTCTGGATGGGTGTACATTATGGGTCTTTTAATGTCTTTTAATGAGACAAAAATCGGTCCCTGTGACGTAAGTGGTTATTATTAGATCAGGTACTTGGTTTAAAGTTCTGATATGAGTTGTTAAGGTAATAGGTAGGGGTGGAACAATATCACGGTACGATATTTGCGATATTGTGGGAAAGCTCACAATATGGTGGGGAGGCTCACAATTAGGGATGTAACAATATCCAAGTCTCGGTACGATATTTTCACAATATACATCTCACGGTACGATATTTATTGCAATATTTTGTGGAGACTAAGAAAACTTTTAATATTCTACTTTTTCCTCTTAAAATGCCTTGACAAGATTAAATCCAAAGAACTAAGACTTAAAAGTGCTTAGAACTGTTATTTCTTCTTGTAGTCTACACTGAAATAGAGCAAAGGATCATGGTCTATGTAGTTCCCTCTGTTTTTTTTTTTAGCTATTGCTACATCATAACTCTTCATTTAAGCAAAAATACTTGTAATTCAGTATATTGTGATGGTCCACGATATTATTGTGAGAACTTTGACGAGACGCTGTCACGATATTTCGGTTATTGTTACAACCCTTGGTAATAGGTTAATATTAGGGTTGAGGTTAAGGTAAAAGTTATGCAAGTAGTGACGATGGTAAAAGTTCAGGAAGTCTCCATATTGACCCCAAAATGCATGTGTGTGTACGGCTATACTGTACTACTGCTACTAAGATTTTGTTAATAATAAACCACTATCTGATAAGGGCTGGGTTTGAATTTGCTGAAAAAATAAATAGATACATTAATTTTGTAAGTGTGCAGATGTCAAGGAAGCAGAAGCAACAATCTGAAAATAGCTCAAATCAATCGCATGCATTTCAGAGCATTACGTGGTCTTTAATTAGCAGATTTTATTAACGGATTTTATGCATAGTAGGACAAGATAGTTTGTTGTTTCCAGAGGTTACATTCGCCACAGCCATTGCCATTCAAATTCAACTGCCATTCAAATCCTCCATGCTACTTAAAAACGTGAAATCGTCTTTAATCACATTTCACACAACACTGCAGAATGTGAGGGGTGCTAAACAACTTTAATTTTCTGGAAAATTTACTTTGAGAATGAGACTGAGAGCATTCATTTGTGCAAAAATAGAGTAGTTGCAAAGGCTCAGTCAGATTAATGTTAATACTAGCCATTGTATTTTAACGGTAGATGCTGTGATGCATAGTGAGAGGTGTAAAAGTGATTAATTTAATAAACCTACTCTCAATATGTTACATTTACCTTTTAATATAACAGTAGTATTACCAGTTTAAAGCGTGATTAGATTATAACTACAGCGTGACACATTAACTTGACTTGGGAGATAAATATTAAACTAAATAGTCCATGTGGGATCATGTGACCCGTGGATCTGGCCACATCAAAACAATGTTGATGAAAGCAAGGAGTTTCAAATAAAGAACACAGTTTCTGGTGTTCTGTTCAGAATTACTGTGCTAGATCAGAGAGGATGGCATTGTGTAGATTTAATTTGTCTGTTTGTGAATTTTTGGGCAATAACAATTCTGTGTTATTTTAGCATGGTTAATTTTAGGGTATAGTGACGACATTTCACTCCCTCAAAGCAACACTCTGTAATAAATGCCTTAAAGGGACAGTTCAGAATTTTGGACATAGGACCTCATTGCCTAGTGAGCCAGAGTGTTGGAGATGTGTGGAGACACTTTTTTAAATATTCCAATCAGTCCTTGTATTTGCAGAGGTCGCTGGTGCTAGGCTAGTGCATGTCAATGGCCATAGTTAGCCTGCCAGTAAAAACAGTGTAACAACAAATATATTATTACGCCAGACTGTCGATGTAAATGTCTGTGTCAATAGAATAATTTTAGAAGTAAAAACCAACCTTGCATTTGAAGGATTTATGTCTGAGCAGCAGCAGCAGTTGTACTTCCTGCTAGATAACTTGGCAGCAGTGGACTGATATATGAGAAAATAGTCCCTCAACATGCGACAATTCATGCTATGCAAGGCTAGGTTTATTTCAAACATTATTTTATCAACACAGACATTCACATGGACAGTCTGGTGTAATAATAGATTTACTTTGGGTGTTTTGTGGAGTGGGTAAGACTGTTTTTAGTGGCAGGCTAACTATGGCCACTGACATGCACTAGCTTAGCACCAGCGACCTCTGCAAATACAAGGACTGGATGGAATATTTCAAAAAGTGTCTCCACACATCTCCAACACTCTGGCTCACTAGGAAATGAGGCCCTATGTCCAAAATTCCAAACTGTCCCCTTAGTTCAGTTGTTAATAAAGTGCCCAATAGGGATGGGACATGATCTCCTACCACAAGATCTCGCGAGACAAATTTGCCGCGAGATTTTGCACACAAGTATTTACATTTGGAGTGGACAAAAAAGGGTTAAATATTGGTGAGTTACATCTTTTACAGTTCCAAAACAAGTACTAGAATGGCATCAAAAATATGAAATCAAAGACATAAGAAATCGTGAGGCCAGAATTGGAAACTAAATCATGAAATTTAAATATTAGGAATTGTGCTAAAATCTCGTCTTGTGCCCATAGACCCAGTCTCGTATCCCATCTCGTCTTGTGGAAATTGTATCTCGTCCCATCCCCAGTGCCCAATAATATTATGGCCAAACTACTCTTTAATTTTTGTCATTCTCAAAACTAGATTAAAGTTGCACTGTGTAATGGACATGCTTATGCTTCTCCTGGAAAGTTTCACAGTATTGTAGTAAATGTATAATTGGCATTTATTGAATTACAAGTGCTTTTATGGCTTGAAAAAAAAGAATTGTTAACTGTGCGTTTTTACTGTTGTCACCTCGCCTCAGATCTGGCCTATTGCTTGACCTGTTACATAACCTGCTTGTATAATACACCATGGAACATTCCAGACAATGCAATAAAACTACGGTACAATGTTTTTGATCCTTTTTGCTTTTCTGAGACGTGAGAAACCACCCACAAAACACTACATTTTCACTTCCATACACATCTATTTTTTATGGCCTCACTTCTGCAATTACAAGCTGTGTCTCACTCTTGTTTTTCTGTGTCTTTATTGTTGCAGGTTTTGTAGTGGGACAATGTGGACTGTACCAAGCCTTCGCCATGTTTTTGGTGGCGTACGTCATCATCTCGCTCACGGTGCTGTCCATCTGCGCCATCTCCACAAACGGGGCCCTGGATGCTGGAGGAGCCTACTGTATCCTTTAAAACCATATAGGGCACATTTCCCTTATTAGTAAAGATCACGCGATCCCAATAAAACCAGAAAAAATGGAAGTGGAAAAATTGTTGTCTAGCCATTAAAGCATACCTATTTTGCCCATCACTCTGTACTTAATTGTCTGATTTTATTTTCTTAATGGGTGATACACATAGGATTTGGCTGCATTGCATAGTCTTTTTGGCAAATGAAAACAAATCTTAATTATGCACAATAGATAGAATTCAGCTACTTGGAAGGGTGTGGAGGGTTACTGGTAGCTCCGGAGCTACAAATGGGAGACCTAATCAACTCTTTATGATGACATTTATTGCAACTTCAGCTCCTGTTGGGCGCTGCAGTTTTCTAATGCTGAAGTCGGTAGACTTTTGTTTTTTGTATTAAGTCGTTTTAGAATATTGTGAATTAAGCATATTATAAATACCAGTAAATATAATATTAATGATCCCCCCAACCCCCCGGTCTGCAATGTGTTCATGGCGCAAAAAGGTTGAGGACCACTGCCATAGATTATAACTATATGGCAGAAACAAGCACAATATCTGTTCTTTCTTGTCACCAACTTGTCTCCATGATGTTGATATTCCTATGCCTTGCATGTTCCTATGGGGCTTAAGTTAACAGACTCAAACCATATCCATGGAGACCAGCAGGTGACACTATATGGCCAGGTTACAGGTCAGATCTGTGAAGTGGCTACCCCTCTCACAGTCATGCTTTTAATTCATTCTAAAATGCAATGCTCACTTAATTGGCATGTGTGCCATTTATGACATCAACTGTCCATGGGCTGAAGCTGGAAATTAGCAATTTTGCTGCAGCTTAGCACAAGCATATGACTTTGTGTTGCTCAATGTTTTTATGTACATTGTCCCTGATAAATAAACAAATAAACTAAACTTTTGAATCACTTAATAATACTGATTATGTCTATATTTGAACCAGTCATACATACAGCCCTGTGTTCACATGTTCTCTGATAATCACATCTAATTTTACATTTCTGTATAAATAAACAATCCAGTGTCACATACTGTATTACTTTGCATGATACTCCAGAGATCAAGAGATTTGGTCCTTAATGTTTCTCAGACATGATCAGCAGAGCGTTAGGTCCAGAGTTCGGGGGCAGCATCGGCCTCATGTTCTTCTTGGCCAATGTGTGTGGTAGCGCCCTCTACGTTTTGGGTTTGGTGGAGGCTGTTCTTGCCACATTTGGAGTTCCAGAAGGTAAACCATACACCCTTTTCTTTTCATTATAATATATTTATAATATAATAACAGTGCACCAGAACTGTTAACATGTTTGTTCAGAATGAGAGTACTTTTGTTTTGGCTCACTCTCTGTCAAAACTTGTTTGTTCACATAATATCCACCTTGTCACAAATAATACACTTTTATACATTTGAAACATTAAAGATGCATTGTGTAACTTTTCTGGTGAAGGGTCCGCCGAATGCTTTTCTCCATGGAGATCTTATTGCTTTATCTGAAATATTTCATGTGTCCTCATGAATACCAAACCAGATCAAGTAACAGGTCAGATCTGTGGAGAGGCAACCCTGCTCACAGTCAGAATGCCTGTTTTCTAGGTATTTTTGAATAATAAAAGCACCTGTAATTGAATAAATGTAAGGCGGATGTGTTTAATGCCATATTGTGGAACATTACAGGCAGAGCGATGACATCTCCATAGAAACGAGCACCCAAATAGTTACTGTACATAATGAACCTTTAAGGCATAATATTAATCACTAACATAGTTTCACTTAACTTGCAATGGAGCATTTTAAATCAGAAAAAACTTTTATTGACCAAGTTTAATAATGTATGTTTAGTGGACTACTCTTTTTTTTTTTTTTTTTTTTGCAAATGGGCCTATTTAATGACTGATGCTTTATGAACTTTGTAATTAAATGTACTGTCATAAGTTTTGGAAATCAGATTCTAATCAATACTAAAACCAGTATTAAAATGTGATTTTTAATTGACCAAGAAAATCACTTAAACATGATAAAATTTCTACCTTTCCTTAACAGTTTCAGAATGAACTAGAACTAGATATGGTAGTTTAAAGAAACTGCTATTATTTTGTGCTGAACATTAAAGTTTATTCTCTAAAAATATTATTGTAGTACTGGAACTTCCTTAGTATCAAAATCTTAGTATTTTGTGTAGTTTTATTAAGGATTTGGGACAGAATTTGCAATACGTTCAAGTTTCTTTTTTCATTTTTGCAAATGGGCCTATTTAATGACTGATGCTTTATGAACGTTGTAATTAAATCTACTGTCCCTCTTTCAGATGGCATTATCACGAGTCAATACCAGGTCCTCCCTTCAGGATACTGGTGGTCCCTTCTCTACGGGACAGTCATTGCTTTGCTCTGCCTGGTCGTGTGTTTGGTTGGGGCTCATATCTATGCCAAAACCTCCTTCCTTATCTTCCTCGTGGTGATGGTTGTCCTCCTCACCATCTTCATCAGTTTTTTCGCCGTGACGCCTCGTGTGGTGCAGCTGCCGGCCGAGGCCACCCTGAACCCCAGAGGGAACGGGACCCTGGGCCCCACCACCGCCAATTTTACAGGCTTCAAGATCGATACGCTCATGGGGAACCTGTGGGGTAAGCGACATGCATATAGAATGTACTGTAAACGTAAAGGCAAGGCAAATTTATTTGTATAGCACAATTCATACACAAAGTAATTCAAAGTGCTTTACAGAATCAGAAATACATTAAAATCACAATGCAAACAAATTAAAACATAAATACTCATCATAAAATTAAAAAGAGGGAGAGAGACATTAAATGATAGAGAAGAGTGCAGAACGAAAACCTTTTGAGCCTGGATTTCAACACCGTCAAAGCAGAGGCCTGAAAGACTGTTCCAGGTTTTAGCTGCATGAATCTGAAATGCTGATTCCTCTTGTTTAGTCCTGACTCTGTGCACCAGCAGGAGAGCGGTCTCTGAGGTCCTCAGAGTGCGAGATGGTTCATATGGCACTAACATGTCACAGAAGTCAGTGCAGAGACCTGAGCACAGGAATTATGAACTTCTTGGTTTGAGTCAGGACCTGAGTTGCAGTATTCTGGATGTACTTCTCTCCAAGTCCGCTTTAGACAGTTTACCTTTGATTTTTTACCCCTAGCTTTATAGCCTGTTTTGAAGGTTTCAGGGAGAGAGACTGGAGGTGACAGCTGACAGACTATAACTTGACTATAACTATGACTTCTGTCTTGTCTGAGTTTAGCTGGAGAAAGATATTTTGCATTCACACACACTGATTTGTTGGATGAGGTGGCAGAGTGAGTTCACTGGTCTATAATTGTGGTAGGACACAGTATTGCTGCGTATTAACTGGCCTAACAGGAGCATGTAGAGAACAAAAGGGGGCCCAGGATCAACCCCACAGGTCAGGCACATGTGAGCGGAGACACAGTTTCCAATTTCAACAAAATACTTCTAGATAGGACTTGAAGCAGTTTAGTGCAGTACCAGAAATGCTCACCCTTTCCTTTTTAAAGAGCAGGTAATCTTTCTTAGTTTTCTATTCTAAATTATTGTTATAATACACATGGGAAGTCAGTGGTCTTATTTCTTTTATTAAGTTTTTGCAATTTAAAATGTCCAAATTATGATCCATGGGTGCCTTATATTATAACTATATAGCAGTCTCAAGCACAGTATGTTTTCTTTAATTGAATGTAATTTTCCTTGAGGAGATTTTATCACCTAATTGTCTAAATGGAGATGTTATTGCTATTCCTTAAATGCTCCACAGTATGTTATTAAACTTAAACCATACTATATCTATGGAGACAAGCAAGGCAAGGCAAGTTTATTTGTATAACACAATTCGTACACCAAGTAATTCAAAGTGCTTTACAGAATAAGAAATACATTAAAATCACAATAAAAACAAATCAAAACATAAATAATCATCATAAAATTAAAAAGAGAGACATTTATTACATAAATTAGAGAGAAGAGTGTGAAATGAAAACCTTTCAGTCATATGCACAGCTAAATAGAACCGTTTTGAGCCTGGATTTAAACAGCGTCAAAGCAGGTGATGCTATATGGCCAAGTTACAGGTCAGGTTTGTGAAGTGGCTATCCCTCTCGCAGTAATACTTTTAATTTATTCCAAAATTCAATGCACTCACTAATTAATATATAGACAGATGCCAGGGCCTCATCACAGCCAACTTCACAGGCTTCAATACTGAAACTTAAATAGCAGGTATTATGCAAAATCTTTTAAAATTTTCTATCATATGTTATAATGTTGCTATAATGCCTGGAGAGGTTTTAGGTATCAAACATGCCAATTGGAGTATTTTAGTGATCTGTACTCTCCTTATGGTTAGCTGTAAAATTCTGTGCAATGCTTAGTCCACAAGTTTATGTCACTCATGCTCTCACACGATAATTTTCCATAAAAATACAAAAACATGATACAAAACTGTCCAGTGCCACTTGACTTGTTTTCAGCGAGAATAACATTTTGAAAACAATAAAAGAACATGGTGAGCTAAATATGTTATGTTTTAGCAGTTAATACCCCATAGAAGTAAAATACCCCCTCTTTATAATGTTGAGCCACTTGGAACACTGCTAAAATCTTTCAAAAACATTATCTGGACTAGTTTTTTAGAGGAAGATAAGGTATACTTATTTCATTTGACCCAGTTGCAGAGCCTCTATTCTTCAAAAATATGCCTCCCCTTTTCAGTGAACTATGATTTAGAAAAACAAGACAACAGAAAAGTAAATGTATATATCGATGTGCATTGCCATAGCTCATCTCTGAATGTCTCAGATATTATGAAAATTGAACTGGCATTATATTAAATGCGTGTTTCACATCTGCCATCTACTGGTAAGAAAAAGCAAATAAATTTACAGAAGAAAGCTTTCAATGTGATAGTATTATGTAGTTCTTTTTTAAGTTACTACAATTTCATAGTTTAATAAGTGATGCCATATTTCACAATTTAAAGGCGCATTGTGTAACTTTTCTAGTGGAAGTTCCTTCAAAGGATTTTCTCCATGGAGCTGTTATTGCTTTGTCTGGAATGCTTCACAGTATGGTATTAAACCTTTCTGTGTTCATGGAGACCAAACCAGACCAAGTTACAAGTCAGAACTGTGGAGAGTAGGGTTGGGCGGTAATACGGTATTATGATATCCTGCGGTATCAATAAATAGCAACAGTATCAGTTTCAGTACCATCATTAAAAAAAATCTGCAGCATATAAGGACCTAATATAATATTATATTTTATTGATACCTACATTTGTTTGCTCAGCACAAAAGAATGTGTAGTTGTGTTTTCAATTTAATGCTATCACGATTTAAAACAAAAACTGTAATGTTTCTTTTAACTGCGTGGGGAGATGACGTTCGATTAGTTTTGATCCGTTGTCACGTGATGCTCATAAGGGAGACCAAGACAAGACGGCAAGTCAGGCTGCAAGTGTTTTGTCCCCCCCCCCCAAAAAAAAAAAAAAAAAAATACTAGTACTTCTGCAATTTGGCAGCGTTTTAGCTTCAGGCACACATTTGTTTACACTTTACAGAAACGAAACTTAAAACCACACGGCTCATTTGCATAAACTATGAAGCGCTGAGAAAAACTGCTCGCTCCTTGTGCGTTGATGCGGTTCAGCTTCTGTCAGACTAAAGGACACGACTCAGTAGAATATGAGTGTTCTTTCTGTGACAGAGGATGCATTGGAGATGGTTCATGCGAAACCTTTTAGAGATTATAAGTGCGGCTTCGTAGCTTACCAAAGTCATACTGAAACATTTTGGTAATACGGTAATACGGAGATTTAACGGTATCAAAATTTGGATACCGCCTAATCCTAGTGGAGAGGCGACCCCATCAGAATGCCTGTTTACTAGGTATTTTTGAATAATAAAACCACCTGTAATTGAATAAATGTAAGGTGGATCTGTTTAACTAGGGTGACCAAATGTCCGTTTTTCCCCTGACATGTCCGTATTTTGAGTCATGTCCGGGTTTCAGTACCGTTCATTGGGAGCATTAAACTGAGTGTCTCTCGTAGCGTCTGTGACTCAGAAGGAGCGAGACACAAACAGTCGGTCAGTCTGCAACATACCGAAGCACAAAAGCACATTTAACAATGACTTGTACAAGAAATTCTCCATTTTCCGTCCCGGTCGGAACAAGTGAGAGGCCATGTGCACAGTTTGTGAGGTGAGAGGACAGTGTCCCTCGTTTATCGCGGGGGTTATGTTCTAAAAATAACCCGCGACAGGTGAAATCCACGAAGTAGTCAACTTTATATTTTACAATTATTCTATCTGTGTTAAGGCTGTAAAACCCCTCAGCACAAACTTTATACACTTTTCTCAGACAGGACAGTTACAACACTTTTTACTTCCTTCTTAAAATTTATTGCTGTTGTCGTCCTTGTGTTATTTTCATCCTTCTTTTTGTAACAAACTGAAGATTCATTTATTCCGTAATGGAGCCCAACAGCGCAGAGTCCCGCACGGGTCCATTTTTGGAGACCCCCAGTACAACACCGCACCCGCGCAGGACAGGACTGCACCTGCCGGTTAACCTGAGTTTATATCAAACTTTTGCGCTGCCTACTCCACGGACTGAACCGAGACTAAACCTCATGGAGGTGCGGAGCTGAGCAATCGAGCAATTGCCCGATCGCGCTTTGCGGACAAACTGCTCGGCATTTTCTCTTTAAGTCCAAGATTAGTCCTGGTTTAGACCTGGTTTAGTCCTGACCCACCCGTGTGTAATTACTACCCGCCTGTAATACACAATACGCCCCCCCCCCCAAAGGTGTCCGGGTTTTCACAAACGGAAATATGGTCACCCTAGTTTAACGTCATACTGTAGAACAATGTAGAGCAATGACGTATCCATAGAAACAAACCGGTGAAGTACCCCCAACCAAAAAGTTACATATTGCACCTTTTAAATGGCTTTTCCTCGATATTCAAATAATACATGCCAGTACAAAACAGTGAATGATGCTATTGTCAAAACTGGCCCCACATTCGTCAAGGCTTTGTAACAACTTGATTAAATTTATTCAGTCAAGCCTTGGATTAATGTGTCAAACTGTACAAAGAATTTCAGCTGCGTGATGTTTCCATTGTGCTGCAACAAGCTTCAAAAATGGATTCTGATTCCGATCTCAGTGACCAATCTGTCACTAGCGTAGCAGGCCATTAAAACCTCCACCGTGGTTTATTTGCTCTGTAATTTCCTCTGTAATTTCTAATTCGATGCAGTTTTCTCCTTATTACTGACTGTAATATAGTGACCAGCCTACCCCATTTGTTTACCGGGATTTGCAAGCATGTGATTTCTAAGCTAATTGACCTAACTAAGGGCCATGTGATTGGAGCACACTCATAATAATCCTGTTTCAAAGTACCAGAGGCCCCGTTGCCAACTGTAACTGCACATTTTTCAAACAGACATTACAGAAATATGACAAGACTGTTTAGGGAGTTAATGGGCTGCCTCTGGTCCCTAATGATAATAAGTGAGTTATGAATGGATGTTAGTTTGTGCAATTATATTACAGCAATTAAAGGTGCAGTATGTAATTTTTGTCTGCTACTAGCCAGACTGGCACCACCTAGTGCCTCTGCTCAATTTCATTTCACTCAAGCGACTAGGTCAGGAATCAGAATACACTAGACAGTTTGCAAGAACCCTGGAAGTTGTAAACCGTGCACCGGCCAATCAGCGAAGTGCTTTGACGCCATGACATCAAACTCAAGCGTCTGTCTGTGTCCCTTTTGTAGAACAGCACAACAGTAAACAAAGCGGTCGAGATGGATGTAGACAAAGACAGACATTCTGTGTTGGCAACGATTCCCGAGATTGAGGATTTAAAGCCGGAACAAAGAGAATGTTTGGTTAATTATATCAAGGGGAAAGATGTTAATGTCCTCCTTCCTACGGGATTTGGCGCATTGCATACGTCACGACCAAATAGCAGCGATTGGTTAAATAAAAAAAGTATCCGCCTACTGTCGAGCGAACAAATCCTAATGCTGCAAGGTCAGACAGTTTCCACGAAGTTAAACTGGCTGATGAATCAGGCTAGTCTGCTACCTTCTTGTTTCTATAAAGAACTTCTCAATCTTGCATTTATTTAATTATAAGTGTTTATTGCTCAAACATGAGTTGTGAAAATGCATTCTTGCTGTGAGCAGATCTGACCTGGAACTCAGTCTGGTGGCATTGCCTGCATGTCCCCATGGGGATTGATAATTCATTGTCATTCTGTATAACATTCTAGGCTAAAGCAATAACATTTTGTGACCTCTTGACCCATCATGACCTTTTAATACAGAAGAAGTCCAAATATTTAAACTTCTTCTTTTTGCAATTCAAAAGCCCCAAACATCCTCTGAACATGTAGGGGAACTTGACCAAGTATTGCTTCTTCAAAATGATGTCAGTAGAGCAGAAACTTAAGCAGTGTATATTTAATTTATAAAAGCTTAGGGAGTATTTGCAACATGGGTTAACATTTCTAGTTTCCTGCTTATCTCCATGGAAACATCATTGCTTTGTCTATAATGTTCCACAGTATAGATTAAACCTTCTTTCATGAGGGAGACAAGCAGGTTACAGCACTACGCTACGTTACAATTCAGATCTGTGAAGTCACCCTTATTTACAAAGAGAATTATAATTGTATTTTTGAGCAATGATGGATATGTTTAATGTCATACCATGGAATATTCCAGGCAAAGTAATAACATCTCCATGGAGACAAGCAGGTCTCCACCAGAAATGTTGTGCAGCTATATCCTAGAACACATATAGTACGTCCTTTTCTGTACTTGCTTTTGCTCTTGAGGATGTCATAAGCCTAAATGTTTGTAAATTGCTTTTTATTTGCCCTGTACTTAGTAGTTGTTTTAGTGTTTTACAGTTTACAAATGAAATCGATTTTGACTAATGTATACTCCCATTTCTGATTGATTTGCCGTTGCTTTGTAAACAACACAAAAGATAACTTCTCCTCTAAGCTGTAAGCCTTTGTAAAGTTTGTTCATGCACAGGTGAGAGAGAGAAAGTGTTTGTCAGGAAACTAAATCAGACTTTTCGGGTGGAGATGGATGGTTCTGAAAGTTGTGTTCCAAAGCCTGATCTCGTGCTATCTCCACTCACAGCTGACTACGTGGAGGATTACACTACAGACAAAATGATGACCTTCGCCACAGTCTTCGCCGTCATGTTTAACGGCTGCACCGGGATCATGGCCGGGTCCAACATGTCTGGTGAGTACAAGCAGCGGCACTAAGAAGAAGGTATAAAGGTCCTATGTCACACAAAATTGACCGTTGTGAGCTTTAAGCCATGTTACAATGTTGTTTTCTCATCAAAGCATAGCTGGAGTTATGTTTTGTTTCATTCAAGCATGTTTGAGTTATCCTTTATTATTACCGTATTTTTCGGACTGTAAGTTGCACCAGCCAAAAAATGCATAATGAAGAAGGAAAAAACATATATAAGTCTATAAGACTATAAGTTGCACTTTTTGGGGGAAATTTATTTTATAAAATCAGCGACGAGGAACCGACATTTCATATTGAAATGCAAGTTCTAGTAATAACAATAGAAGAGAGAACAACACACTGTTAACGTCACATCTGAACCGTTCTTCAGATAACTATAGCATAAACAACAGAACAGAACAAGTTTACCAAGTTAGAATTATTCCGGCCTTTCTGAATTCAGACAGGATGGTTTCGGTGTCACTGAAGTCCAGGCTTTGTCCATCCATCCAGTGACTTCCATGAAAATTGTATGGTGCACCCTCCCGGTGTCACAAGTTTCTCGCTCACTCCAAACTTTCTTTCTGCTGCTTGATTACCGTTTTTGACTGCATATTTCGCAACTTGCAGCTTGTAATCTGCAAAATATGATTCAATGTTCTCAGTTGTCTTAATAAGTCTGGTTAAATTAAAAATTTTCAGTAGTAGAGAAGTAATGGTTTGATCGACTGACAGGACAGCGGCTCTTTCTGCAAGAGACATGTGCAGTAGCGCCAAGTCACAGTGGTGCAGGAGGAATAGGAGTAGCAGATACTAACACACAAGCCTAGAGCGCCCTCTCGGGGTTGTCAGTGTGAAAATGTTAATATACAAGTCGCACAAGAGTATAAGCCACAGGACCACCCAAACCATGAAAAAAAGTGTGACTTACAGTCCGAAAAATACGATAGTCTCCAAAGCTCAAAAAGCTCTGTGGTAGTGGTAGTTTTCAAGTTAACAGCTACCTTTTCCATTTAGTTTAGTAGAGATTGATAGAGAATTTCATGGATGAAATTATTCAAATGATTCTAGTGAAGGTTCATAGAATATAAAAACATCAGGGAGCGTTCCTGTATTACCACATCACAAGATGGAACTGAGCGTAAAGCCTAAATATGCAGGGTTTGTGTGTTAAACGTGTGAATGAAACAAAACACAACTCCAGGTCTGTTTGTGGTGCAGAAACAACATTATAACATAATCAGATAAGATCAGATAATGGCATAATATGTGCCCTTTAATAAACAATTTGTTTATTATGAATTTAGTCATTGTTCAGACTATAAAATAAATAGGGGTATTATAAAGTGGAACCTAGTATTTTTATGTTTGTTGTGGTAAATTATAATTAAAAGACTTATCGTTTACTTGTAGGGGACCTCAAGAATCCCAGTTACTCCATCCCTCGTGGAACCATCACAGCCGTCATCTTCACGTACATCATCTACAACCTGCTGTGTGTGCTGGAGGCCTGCTCGTGTGACCGGTCAGTAACAACCACACAATGTTTATACAGCTAAAAAACTAAAAAAACATTTCAAACTCCTTTTCCAGGATTTATTCTCAACTCAGATAGTTTCTAATTTTGTGTGTTTGTGTAATAATATTTACCAGAACAGGAAATCCCATGATCAAAAGTTATCTTGGTCATCTTTTTGCAGTTATTGAGTTAAAATAGCTGGGGCTGGGAAAAGAGAAGTCAGGAATTAGGAACTACACTGACCACGATCCTTTGCTCTGTGGTTAAAACTTCAGTCAGAATGTGTGAAATTATCTTAAAGACTTGTCAGTTTTCTAGAAGAGTAATTTCTGTCATGCAGTAAGTTAGTGTCATAGTACTTGAGACTAGTCTTGGTCTCATCTCAGACTTGACTGCTTGTATTCGCTCTTTTCTCAGTCTTGAAGACACTTGGACTCGGTCTTGTCTCGGACTCGAGGTCTGACACTCATCGAAAGCAATCATATTTCATTACGGCCGCTGCTGTCAGCAATAAACTTCTTACTATGACATGTGGCTGAACTTAGCCTAATAAAAGTGCACAAATGCATCTGTATTTGTCACGATGTGCGTTTGGTAAATGTGCAGAGGCTGGTAGAGGCAGTAAGAGAATGTAACTTCAGTTAGGAACTTGACAAAACAGGTTTAAAAATCCTACCCATTTTCTTCACTTTTTTCCACAGTTTTCTATAAAGTGCCAGTGGAAGTTCTATTAAAAAAGTGGTTCTCAAACTGTGGGTGTTCAAAAAAGGGGCACAGAGTGTTTACGTGCAGTACAGTTTTCTTATTTTAAGATTAAGTTAACAATAATCAGAAAAAAACGGAGATAGATTTGTAAAAACACTGGTTTAAATGTGCCAAAATAACTGTAAAATATAAAGAAATGTCGAAAATTACAAAAATGGTCTCGATTTGGTCTTGATTTGGTCTCGATGGGCCGTGATCTTGGTCTTGTCTCGGTCTCGACCCTCAGAGGTCTTGGTCTTGTCCTGGTCTTGGGACCCTGTTGTCTCGGACTGGTCTTGGTCTCGATTAGTGCAGTCTTGACTACAACAGTACAGTGAGCCTCCTCACCTAACACCATTGTATTTTAAGGTCTGGTCTGTGATATTAAAATACATTCTAGCTGGGTAACATATTTTTTTCATGACTGAGGCCGATACTGAAATTCACAAATGTTATTGTTTTTAAAATGCAACAAACTTACCCACAACCCTATTTCACCACCAATGAGAAACCTCTGTACTCCCCTGCTGTGTAGTGATTGTTGTGTATAAATAAAGCTGAAGATCGTCCCTTCAGTCAGTCCAGGTAGTCAGCCGAACCAACCAACCAAGAGATTTAAGGCCAAAAGCAATACTATACAATATAAATGGATTTAAAGTGAACAGCTACGTTTTTGTCTTTTGTTTAGTAGAGATGGGCAGTTCCAGAGCTGAAATGATCCAAATGATTTGAATAAAGGCGTACAGAGTTTGAGAGGAGAACTAAGCCTAAATATGCAGGGTTTTTGATTAGGAAACAAAATTATAACACAGATCACAAAACAGTTTAATATTCAAATAAATATAAAACAATGATTCTGTATTTGGTAAAACGTATCCATTGAGATGTTGTGTTGCAGTGGTATGACATCTTGAAAAAACATGAAGCTCTCTCTTTCTCCTGTCAATCCATGTTACAGTCGCTCATCAAATAAATGCCCCAAAATACAATCAAGGCTTCATGTGACTGAAGTTGTTCTAATGAATCATGAGCTAATTGAATCTCTGTCACATGTTATCAAATCTGATTTGGTTGCAAACTGTAGTCCTGATGTAGAAACGGACTTCTCTCTTGTTTTGGAAAGATTTTGAAGGAAGTTTTTTAGTTCAGTTTTTTATAAAAGCTGCACAGACATTTCAAACTTGTAAAAAAATGTCTTATGTAGTAGAATTGCTTGTACCAAAATACACTGTGTAGCTTTTCTAGTGGATGGTCTGCTCTGCTGCTTGCTTGTATCCAGTGAGAGATTTTATTGTCTTACCTAAATTGTTCCTTAGGGCCCATTTGCACGAGAATGCTCGCGGGTAAAAATGACAAAATATTTTATCGGAAGTGCCTTTCGTTTAGATGGTGACGCCGTTTTTGGGGCTTAAAAACGCAAAAATCTGAAACCACCTTCCAGAGTGGAAAAGTGGAATGGCAGGGTATCCCCAGGTTTGACTACCACAAATTTAAGACTTTTTTAAGCCCTTTTTAAGACCACTTAAACGCAAATTAAGACCAACATCGCACCCATTATACAGGCGAAAAACACCAAATCCAATTCTAATAATAACCAGTTACTCACTGCTTTAAATAACAAAAAATACTTTTATTACAAAATCTCATTCAGAACTCATTTACAGTAGTATGCATTGCTTGTAAAAAGGCAATTTTTTTTTAAAAATAATATTCTAACACGATAAACTAAGTATTGTTTGTGCATACTCCAAATTAGACTTTCATTTATATTACTTGATTTGACGTTGTTCTTTTTTTTTCCTCCTTCCATTTAACATTGCACTGCAGCCTGGGTGAGTAAACAAAAAATAGACTATTAAAATTTAAGACCTTTGTGAAAAAAAAAAAAAAAAGACCTGGACAACATAATTTAAGACTTTTTAAGGCCTTCATTTAGGAACATGAAATTTAAGACCCTACCCTGAATACGTTCCGTCATAGCGTTTCCATCTACACTGCCCAAGACGCAAAACTCTGGTCAGATCTACTCATGTCATCTACACATTTACGTCACATACATCACCACCTAGCGTCGCCACCTTGCCGCCTGGCATGCATACCCAATCGAATTCCACACACTTTTGCGTCACTGTATGCACGCAGATTTCATCCCAAAAACGCTCGTCTAAACGCGAAATAAAAAGTGAAGACGCGATGCCACTTTTGCGTCTTCTATTCAGACCGTCATCATATAAACGTAACGACAGTATGGCATAAAACACATGCAGACAGGCAGGTGGCGACACAGTCCTAAGTTACAGGTCACATCAGTGGAAAGGCGACCCCACTTACAGTTACAGTACACGTTTTTCAAGGTGAACTATGATAATACCAGTAAAAATAAAATAAAATCCAAATATACAAGTTTAATACCATACTGTGGGACATTCCAGGCAACGCAATAATATTTCCATGGAGATAAGAAGGTGGCGGACCCCTCACCAGAAAAGTATCACAGTGCAGCTTTAACGAATGACCATTATAACCGCTTAAACACCGTATCCGTCACCTTTTAAATAAACCGTACAATCTAAATGAAAGCTGTTTACTGATAACGCTGTAGAATGAGATGTTCACATGTTGTGTTAGCGACAGATCAAATCCAATACTTAGTGACTATCAGATAATGCAGACAGAGCTCATTTTCTGCTTCACTACACGCAACAAAGCCATCACAGGAGCAGGCATTTTGAAAAGCGCCTACTCTCCCCCCGGCGTTATCTGACCGCAGGTGTCACATAATCAATCCCAACGCACTGAACTTGAAGTAGTATTGGAAAAAAAACACAAAAAAACTACACAAGCGAAAGAATTAATAACAGATGACCTGGCTGTTCAATCCAACATTGGTTTGCATTGATTTGTATTCAGGGTATTGATGGAGGAAAGAATGAAAATATATATTAGGTCTATGGGCCTGTTTACACGAGAACGCTTACGGGTAAAAACGACAAAATATTTGATCAGAAGTGTGTTTCGTTTAGACAGTGACGAAGTTTTGGGGGATTTAAAACGCAAAAATCTGAAAACACCCTCCAGAGTGGAAAAGTTGAATACGCTCCGCCGTAGCGTTTGCGTCTACACTGCCCAAGACGCAAAACTGTGGTCAGATCTGCTCATGTTGCGTACACGTTTACGTCATATACCGTATTTTCCACACCATAGGACGCGCTCATAAACCTCCAACCCCATCAAAAAACGATGCCCCGCAATCCAGCGTGCCCTATACACGAATCCACTCAGGGTGTCCCAGCACGACGCAGCCACACTCATCACCCCAAGCGGACGAGGAACGGAACGGAGGAACGAACCGAAAAAGCGAGTGCAATGTGCCACTTCTAGCTACAACTGAACAACTGAGTCACTGCGAACACGGCAACAATCCAGCGGTCCCAGACAGCACCCTCCCTACACGCCACAATTGAACAAAGCCGAGAGTCACCGTGAACGTGCCAAACAAAGTCCCACTGACTCATCCAACTGTTGTTTCATTTAATGACCAGTGCGGTTTATTTGTGAAAAAAGTTCGAAAATAGACCATTCAATGACAGTGCGCCATATAATCCAGAGCGCCCTATAGTACAGAAAATACGGTACATACAGTACACAGAAACCTGGCATGCATACCCAATCGAATTCCACACACTTTTGCGTCACCGTATGCACGCAGATTTCCTCCAGAAAACGCTCATCTAAACGTGGAATAAAAAGTGAAGATGCGACACCACTTTTGTGTCTTCTGTTCAGACCGTCATCATATAAATGTAGCTTATATACAGACCAAATATCCTTCTAAAAACTTTAAAACATGAAAAACAGAACTAGTTCTCAGTGGTTCAAAGTTATTTGTCTTAACGTATGCATTCAGAGCATCCTAATTATTCACCGCAATGAGTTTATAAGCGCTTTTCACAACTTTCAGAGGCCAGAGCGGAGTTTTGCTGCAAAGGAAAATAACAACTAGCATGCTAACTCGCACTTCATGATTATCGGACAATAAAATGCTTTCTAATTAGATGCACGCAGCAGAATTCTTTTTGAACTCAATAGCTGCTTACAATAAATCTACTGGGGCAAGACAAATTTTTCTCAGATGCATGGAAAAAAAACAAAAACAAAATCATGGTCTTTACTTCACATGAGATTTTCTTTTTTAAACATGTTCCCCATTAACTTTGCTTTGTTGGCTAACTCATTGCGGAGTGTTGTTTGGTCATGATTTG